TGGCCTCAGAACCAGAGTAGCGGATCGCTTAGTGGGAGACACTGACCGCACACGGCGCCATGTCCCAGCTGTAGGAGGCATGTAATCCTCATCCTCAGGATCATCTAACCTGAACTTTAGGATCTCGTAAAGAGCCCTTTCTCCAGATGACATCCCGTCCAGAAAGGAAGGAGTGAATGAGTCAGCCTTGCGTGTAGGGGCCTGGCGGAGGAAACTGGACATCTTGCTTTGGACGGCCCTAGTGAGGGGAGGGGTAGCAGACTATGAACTTGCTTCAATCATAGTCGCAGTCAAGTCGCTCTTTGCCAGCAGTACAGAGGATTCAGGGATGATGGCCTGAGAGTCTTTGGAGGGGGAGGGTGCTGGGGCTGTTAAGTATTCCGAGCCGTGATCAGAGTTGAACCGAACGAAGAGTCCTGTGGTGGTGTCCTTGCTCAAGCCACACATGGCTGAACAGCCTCTCCCAATTAGGAAACCCTTCACTAAAACCTCCCTTTCTTTCATCATGACAATGGTCACATCAGCGACCATTTGCCGAACTAAGTCATCAAACTGTAGGTTCACTGCATTCTGACACCCATGACAATTGTAAAACTGCAGGAAATTAAAGTTTCCTTTGGGTGCAGCATAAGAGCGTGTAGTTGTGGGGATAAGGCCATAGTCGGCCTCAGTAGCAGGCACAAAAGACAGAACCGTACAGGCTGTCTCAAGCGAGGAGGACGGGTTAGAGTCGAACCGAACTGGGGATGACATCCTCGAAGGGGGGGGAGAATCCATGGAAGAGGAGGCTGTCGAAGAGGCCATCCTCGCCCAAACTACACTCAGTGATTACCAGGACCAGGCGACAGATATCTTACACTGAAGTGCCTTCTAAGCGAGAACAACTACTTCTAACCGACTGCCCGAAACAAAAACACAAATAAGTAACAGTAGATGAAGTATTTATCGCGAGCGTAATAAGGTAAAGTATTGGTTATGCTCACTTCTGACATGGAGTGCAAGAAGTAGGGAAAGTACTTAGAACAAAGCGTGAAGAACCTATCCTCCTCAGCCGCATCGGCCTTCTTATATAGTATTCTTCCCACCCATAGTCATGTGATTCAAAGTGGTCACATGTGCAAAACCAAATCATAACAAACTAGTCATGTGACCAAAGTGGTCACATGGTCAAAACTCATGACCTCATAGTGAGGTCATATGCAAAAACTCATAAACCAATCATAACACGTTAAACAAGTCATATGGCTCGAATGAGTCATATGCATGAAACCGATGACCTCATAATGAGATCATGTGCGAAACATAAATCATATGTGCAAGGCATACCTGCAAGGCACACTCACAAGGCATACTTGCCAGGCGCACATCCCATAACTCATATTTGAG